AGAGAGAGAGAGAGAGAGAGAGCAATTGCAGGGATTGTGGAAGCTGGCAACCTTCCTTCAGTGGGGTCCCTCTGTATGGTCAGAATCTTCTCTTCTGTGGAGTGACAATTGCCAAGAAGCCTCCAGAGGAATGCTTCCTTTCTATAGTTGTTTTGTAGACAGTTGGTACAGGGAGGTGCTCCACAGGAAACAATCACACAGCCACTTCTTTGAAACTGTACCCCAGCCTTGTCAGAAAGGGAGCCCCCATTTCACCCTCAAGTGGGAAGCACCTGAGATGAGAAGGGCTAGGAGTGCTCTCCTCCTCCTCCTCCTCCTCCTCCTCCTCCTCGGATGTGCTGAGCCTTTTCCATTTCCTCCTGGCTCTCCCCAGCTGGAAACATCCTAGCCCTTCACTGTGTGCCTTTTGTCTCCCTCCTGCCCCTGGTGGCGAGGAGAACTTTCCACCTGTCCCTTGGCAACGATGGGGCTCTCTCCAGTATGTTTCAGAATGCACTCCAGCTTTTTGGTGGCTCTCTTTGCACAGGAGCAAAAGGTCCGGGAGGCAGAATTGGCACTGGATCTCCGAGCCAGGGATGTCCAGGCAAGGTCAGCTCAGCTACAGGCCCAGGTGAGTATCAGCAGGTGAATTGCAGTCACCGCAAGGGATGGCCATACCATTGGCCTTTGGTATCTCACCAGACATCTTGGCTGTGGTTTTTGTGGCTTCCAGCCTCTGGGATGTGTGAGAACTTTGAGGGGCATGGGCTCATTGGGAGCATTCACTATGCCGTGCCTTGGGCTTTCCCAATTAGGAGCATTGGCCAGCTAAATGCCTTTGCTCACAGACTGCTTTGGAGCCTAGTACCCCTCACTGGCTGCAGCACAGACTGCTTTGGAGCCTAGTACCCCTCACCCAGGCGACTTCCCTCAGACAACTGGCTGCAGCGTTGCTCCCGAAGGCCAGAGGTGGGCCACTTGGAGAATCATTATTTACACCCACAGACATTCAAGGTCATGGCTGGCCCTTGGACGCCCCATCACCTTTGCTGGAGATGTGTGGATTAGTATTTTTGGACTATAACTCCCAGAATGCCAGGGAATCTTGGGGGTTGTAGTCCAGAACCACAGATCTGGACCCCTCTAGGGTCTATGGGTTGCCTTCCTCCCTCACCTTTTCGTTCTCCCTTCATATGCAGGAAGAAACCTTGAAAAAGAGAAAACAGGAAGTCCTGGAGGAAGAGGAGCAGCTGGAACAACAGCAAAAGGTACATGCTCGTTGCTCGGGCAAGGAATGAAATCTCCCCCTCTTCCCCTGTGATGGGGTGGCCTCACGTACTTCCTCCTTTCATGATCCCGCAGGAGAAGTCTTTGGGACACAGATGGGCAGGAATAGCCATATTCTGAGCAGAGGGGCTTCTGTCAGTGCACAGCTGAAGGTCAGGATTAGTCTCCTTCTCTGTTCCATTCCACTTTGTAAACAGAGAGAAGAAGCTTAGAGGTCACCCTGGCTGGCCTTTAAGTGTATGTGATGCCAACTAGCTAGGTTCTGTTTGTGGGGACTGGCCGCTGTGACTGTCCTGCACCTCAGAAAGATACTGAAAGGTATTTCCAAGTCAGCCTGCTTGGTGATCCTGCCCAGGACTGAACTGGGGACCTTATGTTTGCAAAGCGTGTGGGATGCCACTGAACAGGAGCTCCTTTCTTCTGTGAGCAGTTGCCGAAATAAAAGATGCCTAGATTAGGGAGTGCAGCCAAGACGCAGATCGCCCCCTTCTGTGTCCTTGGTGGAGCCTTCCTGTTTCACAGATAAGGTCAAAGCTCTGGTTCCTATTTGGGTGAGGCAGTGGCCTCTGCTAGAGATGCTGGAGGCCGGTCCGCTGGTTCTCTCCTTTTGCTCTACAACTCAACAGTTGTCTGTTCTTGGGCCAAACAAGGAGAAAGGTAGAGAGGAGAGGAGAGTTTCTTCTCAAAGAGACTGGGGTGTCATTTCCCCACCTCTGGGAATTATATCACAGACGTCGAAGCCAAAAACATGATCCTTGCAGAAGTGCAGATGCCTTAAATGTTTTCCCCTAGGAGGCAGCTGTGGCAGCTCAACTCTGCCTTGAAGAGTCCCAAAAGCAGCGAGACAGCCTGGCTGAGAGCTTGGTGCCCCTGCGCCAGGCTGTGGTGGCGCTTCAGAGCCAGAAGGTGGACTTGGAGTCTCGGGTGGAGCAGTTGCAGGCACAGAGCCAGCAGCTGCAGAAGCAGGCCAGGTGGGTGTGTGCCCAGCAGGGCACAGGGGGCTGCTCGTGGACTGGAGAGCCCGTCGACTTGCTAAGGAGGAGAGCTACTTTTAGACCTAGACATTGCTTGACCTTCTCGGAGAAGGGGCCCTTGTGTGTTTGGAAAATGGGAAGTTTGGGGTAGCTCATTCTTACACTACGTCACAGGCTGCTGCTACCTTAAGTGTTCCCTACCTGGCTTTGGGAGTGTCTGGTTTCCACTGCACATGGGTTCTTCACAGCGGTGGCAACAAATTTGGAGTGAGGACTTGAGTATAGCTTGAAACCCCTGAAGGATCAGAAGGCACATTGCTGGGAACATGTTGCTCATGGCCTGTTCTGTTCCCAGGGAGCTAGAGGAGACCCTCCGGGACAAGCAGGAGCTGCTGAAAGAGAGGAAAGGACCAAGCCGTGAAGCTTCCCTGCTGAAAATGGAGGCACTCCAAGTGGAAGACCTGCAAGACAGCGGTGGCACCCCAGTCCACTGGAAACAGGCGGCTGGAATGTCACGGACAGGGGAGGGGCAGGGACAGGGACAGGTAGTCCTTCACTGAGTTTATTTCATAGCTCCTGCCGCCCATTGAAATGCTTTTTAGATCCTCAGATCTGTCCGGGGTCTACACTGAAAGCACATGGTGCCAGCCTCTACCATAGAAAAGAGGCCCGTTTTTTAAAATGCAGTTTGTGACAGATTGTTGAATATTCAAAACAGTCACAACCCATGCAGCATTTAGTTATCACCAGTAGCATGCTTGTGAAATATTTAAGAAGAAGAATGTATCCCATTAATGACTTCAAAATGACATTTGTTTAATTCTGTCCGTGTTCAGGGGGCTTTGCATTACTGCAATAGGATCACAGTATCTGCTGGGGATTGGTTCCAAGCCCCACCCACTTCAGCACGGAGAATAGCAAACACTACGTTTAGCATAGTGCCTGGTTCCCAGTTCTGGCAATTACATAGCGGAAATACATACAGTTTTTTTTTGTTTTTTTCTCTTCTAATATTTTTAATATTTTCAGACTGCAGATAATCCTACAAATACAGGGGTCCTTACTGCACACACAAAAAAGGAAGATTCCATGCAGACATGTAGAAATAACAGAAAAAATAAAGCATGTTTATAATTAGGTCTTGACTCACATCCATGTGCTTAGCCAGTTTTGGGGGTCCAAATGTACCTGACAGTTGCAGGGGCACTCAGAGAGGGAAGACATTGGGGGGGGGCTGGAAGAGACTGGCCACATTGTTAGGTACAACATAGAAGGCACGACCCTTTTGTTAACATGAAACCACCCTTTGAAATGGATCTCGCAGGCTGTGTTTATGTCATGCACACACAGAGGGAAGTCCCAAGTCCAGTTTGCAGTGTGATAGCAAGGCTAGGCAAGGCCTTGTTTTGTGAAATCTTAGGAAGCAGTTATTCCAGGGAATATTGGACTGGCATCAGAGTCTGTCTCTTCATATCTATTTGTGAGTAGAGAGGAGAGCCTCTAGTTAGGCAGTGTCCCCCACTCCGTCCCGGCCTGGTTGTCTGATCCCAGGACATCTTTGGTTTAAACTGCTCCTGTTAAATGTTGAGGTATGACAGCTTTCTTGGGTGTGGGATCCAGCCTTCATTCGCATGTCAGTTAACATATTTTCAAAAATGATTAAATCCTTAAGGCCTGCTACGGAGAGACGGCATCCGAAGCCCCAAAGACTCCTGAGGAAGACAGCCTCCTCCTGGACCAGTAAGAGAAAGGAGACGATGCGCCTTTGCCTTCGCTTTTGCCTCCAGGTGTAGGCAGTGTTTGGAAGCAGAGTCGTAGAATGTGGCTGAGTGGCTTCCCCGGGTGTACGTTGGTGGTGAGAGGATGCTGCCGCTGCTGAGGGCTTTATTGTGGCACTGTCAAGGCCCACCCCAGAGTGGTGTTTCAGCGCCGTATGCTTAGAAGATGCTTCAGGAACTGCTTGGTGTTCTGTTGACCTCTGCCAGAAGTCCTGCTCCAGTGCTTTCCTTCCCACTTCCAGGGTCCGGCAATACATATCTGCTGAGGGAGCTTCCCTCAAAACAGCTAAGGAGTTCCTGGCACACCAGACGTACTTGATGCAGAAAAGGCAGGCAGCCTGGAGAGATGAGAAGCAGCCCTGGAACCAGGATCTCCAGGTAGCTAGCACAGGTGTCCCCAGACTCTCTCTCTCTCTCTCAAGTAGCAAGTAGCAGAGGTATGGCAGCTGTAGGTGAGTGCTGGCCTTTGGATCTTTGCATTGGGGAGCCCCCCACCCATTGTACCTTCTCTCTCTGGGTTTGTTGAAATGTTTATCCCATTACTCCAGATAACTTCTCCTAGAATAGCTCACAAAACCATTGTGAAACAAAAAACTTGATAGTCCAAGGGAGAGAGGCATTCGTTGCTGCTGCTGCTTCTTTTTTCCTGCTGCTGAAACATGATTGGCTGCTGCCTGCTTTCTCCCCCACAGGAAGCCAGGCAACTGGATGAGATGAAGTCTGCTGTACAGAGAGGGCAAATCCTGCTGAAGAAGAAGGAGAAGAGGTTGAGACAGCTGGAGTCCTCGCTGGCGGAAGAGGTAGCAAACTGCCCACAGCTGGAGGAACGTCGGTTGTCCAGAACAGGGTGGGAGAGCAGCTTCTTGGGATAGTGCACAGTTTTTGTAGAACTTTCTTCTCCAAGACTCAGTTCAACCCAGGAAGGAACTGGTGCCCTGTCAGGGAGGGGTTTGTGACTAAACCCGATTGAGTGCTTACAGCAAGACTGAACGAGGTCTAGCACGTATAGGGATACACATGCTTTGCGCTAGACGGTGCCATTTCATTGTAGCTAAGCAGGGGTGGGAAGGGATTCACTTCACTTCTGCTCAGCGTCAGAGCAGGCAAGCGGTTCCCCTGTCTCGGGTCCCCATCCGCTGTGCCTGTGCTGGCAATGGGGCCAAGAGGAGGGCCTCCTCTGACGATCTTAAATGCCGAGAAGGGAAGAAAAGGTTCTTCAGGGACTCATGTTGCCCTGGAGGTGCAGCCCCATGACAGCGGCTGGTGGGGATGGGGGGACAGAGGATTTGGGAGCACCTGCCGTTGCAAAACTCTGCATACCGAGTCTGGTGCTCTGGCTCCTTGCTATCATGCCTGCTGAAAGTGATCGGGCTAGCAGTCCTGGCCTCAGCTGCTGGAGTGATTCCTCTGCCTTTGCTTGCTGGCTAAGCTCTCCTTGAGAGGCAGGAAACCACCTGTGGCTGTTGAACATGGAGTTGAACCTTCCTGTTTTCCCTTTTCCTCAGTTCTCTGATGAAGATATGCTGAAGGATGTGGCATGCAAGAAGGGGGTGACTTTTGACCTCAGTGACTCGGAGGACACAGACAGCCTGATGAGCATGGAAGAATCCACCCCCAAAGGTCTGGGTTTGATGCAGTTCTCTGAACAGCCACCTCCCTCGCTCTTTCAGCTCATGGGACACCAAGGGTGTGCTTGAAGGGTCTCTTTCTGTGATCTAAGGCGGTGAAGCTTCCCATTCTTTTGCGGCTGCCGCAGTTCTGGTCTGCTGGGAGGGAGAGTTGGCAGATGCTCCCCAGTTCTTTGGGTCTCCTTGCCCTTTTTCTTCTTGTGGCTAGCGCAGAATTCTTGCGATCTGGTTCTCCCTTTCTGCTAAGTGCCCTCAGTTTTCCATCCCGGAAGTCCAGAGCTACTCAGATGGAGTCCGCTTAAATTCTGCCCTGTCTTCTGCCCTTCAGGAGTGGGCCAAATCAAGTGAACTTCAAGAGTGCTTGACTCCAGGGAAATCTCCTCTTCGCCTTTGTGAGATGTGGGCCTTAGAATTATCTGCTCCTTCTGTTCCACCCCTCCCAACTCCACTCATTGCTACCAACAATGCATTCCTCTTTCTCCTCGCAGATGTTCACTTGAAGCCATCGGAATGCCAGTGGCCCCCACTGGATAAGATCCAGTGCCTGACGAACTCCCTGCAGCGTATCTCCAGTGATCTGAACAGCATTCTTGGCCTCCTGACTGCCTTCGGCACCCAGCAGCCTCTCCTTTTTCCTTCTGCTAAGGTCCCTGCCGCCCCACTGCCCCAGGGTGGCCTTCCTCTTGCCACCTACATCTCTGCACCCCATGGCTACTCAGACGCAGCCGCTCCAGTGGTGCCTTTAGCTGGCCCTCAGTGGGCCTGGAGAACGGCCTTAGGCCCCCGTCCCTCCACCACCTCCTCCTCGGCCAAGAATTCTGTGGACAGCCTGCTGATCAAAAAATGGCGCAAATACTTCCCAGGTAAGCACAGGGCGCCCTGGGGGCCCTTCCTTTCCCTGATCAGCTTTTCAAGGCTGCTTTCCCATCTTGGCAAGTGGAACGCTGGTCCCGCGTCTGTTAGTTGGTAGGCTTGGAGGTTGGAGTGGTACTGCCAGACAAGGGAGGTGGCCGGAGGTGTAGGAGTGAGGAATGTTTGTGAGAGGGGTGGGTTCTTTTTCCTCCACCACAGCCCAGGAGAGATCAACCTCCAGGGGTGGGAGCCCAGTTGTTTAGGCCAGCGCCAGAATATTAGGAGCAGCTGCCCCTCCTCAGCCAGCACTCCAGAGCAGAGCGGCTGCCACCTGGCATGGAATGTGCCTGGCTCTTGCACTGAGTTTGCACTTGCTTCCTAAAGCTCCCCCCT